GCCGAGGTGTAACAATCATCAATACCAGCCATCAGCAGCAGCTTCTTGGGCACAGGGGCTGAGACAATGCCTGTGCCTCTGGACGCAGGAATGAGACGCACCAGGACAGAACCGCAGCGGCCGGTCACCTTGCAAGGAACTGTGTGGGGTTTGCCGATTTTGTTCCCCCAGTAGCCTCGCCGCACGGGGACGATGGACAGCTTGGCCAAGATGATAGCCCCGCGAATGGCTGTGGCCACCTCCTTGGAACACTTGATGCCTAGGCCACCATGACCATTGTAGTCCCCAATGGCGACAAACACCTTGAACCTAGTCCGCGGGCCAGCGCGCATCTGTTTCTGCACAGGCATGATCTTCAAAACCTCATCCTTGAGGGACATTCCCAGGAAGAAATCAGTGATATCAGACTCCTTGATTGGCAGGGAGAAAAGGTAAATCTCCTCCAGGGACTTGATCTTCATGCCCTTGACCAGACGACCCAGCTTGGTGACAGGGAGCCACTCCTTGTCCTCCGCTTTGCCTCCGCGAGCACGGCAGCCTCCCCACGGCCCCTACCATGGCCGAGACCCCGGCCCCGCAGACCACTGCCGAAGCCTCCGCGGAAGCCACCGCGGGCTCCTGTCCCGGGCCCCCGGGGCCTCCGGGCCCTCCAGCTGCACCGGCGTCATCCACCATTTGGTGTTTTCTCAGAGAAGAAGCTTAAATGCTTTTTTTAAAATGTAAATATATATATATATACAAAGATTTGTATGTGAATGTTTATAGCAGGTATCTTCTTTATGGTGAAATCTGAAGCAACCCAAGTATACATCAACTGAACAATGGATAAAGAAATTGTGATACAACCAGATGATAGAAAACTATTCAGCAATGAAGCAGAGGAACAGGCACGAGCAGCAACTTGAATGAACCACAAAAGCAAACTACTGAGTGAAAGCAGGCCTTTGCAACAGGTTACATAATGAGCGATTCCAGTTATATTACGCTCCGAAGAGGCAAACTATCAGAGTGGACAATGGATTGACTGCAGCGTGGGGTTAGAGGTTGAAGAAAGAATTGACTGCTAAGGGCTACAAAGGAAGATTTGAGGAAAGGGAAGTGGAAATGTTCTATATCGTGTACATTTGCAAAAATGACTAGTACACTTAACTTGATAAATTTAAATTTTTAAAAAAGATTTTTTCATTACACTTTGCAGGTGATAATAAAAATTCAAATTAAATATGATGGCAATGTGATGGGAAATAAGAGACTGCTTCCATAGTACATCAAAAAAGAATAAAAGATAGATGTCAGAAACTAATTGCACATAAAATCAAGGGAGTAACTTTCATCTGAAAGCATAGTATAATTGCTAGAGAAAATGAAGGAAAAGGAAGTGGTTCAGGAAATTGATGTTTATTTCAACCTTTTACCATTACATTTGGGTACTGTCATGGTTAGGTCAACCAAACTGAAAAGTCTAACAGGCAATGGAAAATGGGAAATCTCCATTTTAAAAAGAGAGGCAGAGTTGGAAATCAGAGAATTCTAACTAAACTACATGGACTTTATGTATTTGTAGGACTAGATGAGAATACTAAGTAAGTGTTGAAAATAGGGACTTTGTGATCAATAACAATTGCTTACAGCATTGAGAATAGAAAGCATCCAATGAAAAAAATAGTTAAAAAACAAGAAAGATAATTCAATGTAGCTTCGGCAGCCATTTTGGATAGTAGGGAGAGTAGAAGCTACATGGAGTCAATTCTGATTCATTGTAACCCTATATAGGGTTTCCAAGGAGGTTGGTGAGTTTGAGCTGCTGACCTTGTGGTTAGCAGTCCAGTGTTTATCCAACAGCACCACAAAAAGTCAGATGGCAAGGGTTAAGAAGAGAAAGCTCTTGAGAACCTCAAAACAGGAAAAACTTTATTGTAAGGATTTCTTGGAAGATTTTCACTAGTAATCTTTGCTCATGACTAACAGAAAAATAAAGTTATAAAATGAAGGTCAGGGACAAATTCTGATTTTTTTATCATTATTATTATTCTCAAGTGCTTTGTCCCTAAGCTCTGCATAACTAGAATCAAACAGTAATATTTACTGAGGGCCAAAAAATCAACATTCAGTTTATTCAAAGGAGCTCTGGTAGCATAGCGGTTATGAATCAGGCTGCTAACCTCAAGATCAGCAATTCGAAACTACCAGCTGTTCCGCAGGAGAAAGACGAGGCTTTCTGCTCCAGTAAAGATTTACAGCCTCGGAAACCCTGTATAGGGTCACTATGAGTCAGAATCAACTCCACAGCTCATAACCACCAACCACCACCAAGGGTAAACAGGCCCTGGGATATAATAGGTCATAGCATCCAAACTCATGATAGTGATTTACAGCAAAAGTCAACTGGATAATTTGCAATGAAAAGTACAACTGCTAAACAGAATGTTAATTGAATTGGTTGTTCAATGCATTATTACCCTGTTGGAATAGCTTTCTCAGGTAAGCAAATTTAAAGTTTTAAGGTATTCACCACCACCACCATCCACCACCATCAACACTTAAGCTTCTACCTCAAGTCTTCCTTCTTTTTCATAGTCAATATTTAAAAAAAATACGATCCAGATTTTACTAACCCTTAGGTACTTTTAAAAATGCAGATTTCTGGTGCATGCCACACTTATATATCATGATATGTACATATATAAATTGTTGTTGGTGTTGTTGAGTGCCGCTGAGTCCATTCTGACCCATAGCTGATGGGTTTGAACTGCCATTGTGGTTCAAACTGATCTTGTGGTCCAGTTCCTATCCTATAGCACCCTAGCAGGACAACTTGTTGTTAAGTGTCACCAAGAGGGTTCTGACTCTAAGAAAGCCTGATGGGTTTGAACTGTCAATTTGCAGTTAGCAGTCCAGTGATTAAGTTCATGGAAATTTTTCATGAACAAATTAAGAACAAATATGTCAGTTTGAGGAATAAGTGTGCCCGGCCCAGGCTTTGGTATTTTCAGTAGCCTCATATGTGTATGAAAGTTGAACAATGAATAAGGAAGACCTTAGAAAAATTCAATGTATTTGAATTATGGTGTTGGAGAATATTGAAAGTACCATGTACGGTCAGAAAAACAAACAAATCTGTGATGAAAGAAGTACACCCAGAATGTCCCTTAGAAACGGGGATGGTGAGATTTTGCCTCTTTTACTTTGGACTTATTATCAGGAAGGACCGGTCCCTGGAGAAAGATAGCATGCTTTGTAAAGTGGAGGGTCAGCAAAAAAGAGGAAGACCCCAGTGAGATGGATTGACACAGTGGCAGCATCAATGGATTCAAGGATAATAATGATTGTAAGAATGGCACAGGATCAGGAATTGTTTTGTTCTGTTGTGCACAGTTGTGCTGAGTCAGAACCTGCTCAGCAGCACCTAACAAATGAGTCAGAACTAACTGAACAGCATTTAAGTCAATCACTTCAAATGGCATGCCTATACTGAGCAATACTAAAATAAATTACTATAAGATCACCCAAAAAATGTTACAGGGCTACAGTATTAGCTATTATTGCTACAAATCCTCAGTTACATTCAACAGTCAGTGTTTATGGCTCCTGTTTGGGGTGGTCAGCTGACAGGAGCTGATCTAGGCTGACCCTACTAGAACAACGAGAGTGATATGATACTGGCCCATATGTTCCTCATCCTCTATCCAGGGCTTGTTCTCAGTGCAAAGAAAGAAAATCCCAGTATATAAGCTCATTTCAAGCCTCTCCTTCTGCTGTGTCGGTTGGTATTCTATTGACCAAAATAAGTCATATAGTTGATCCTGTGTTGAGGGATAAGACAGGTCACCCAAGTAAGCCATGATATGATGAAAGGGCACTGAAAAAAATGTGCATAGAGGAAGATGTGAAGAATTGGCCTATGTCACTGAGTTATTGCCTAGCAACTAAACAAAATTCAGTGAAAATATTTGGTAAAACCAAATCTCGGGATAGAATATTTTAGCATTTGTATCTTTAAAAATAACCTGTTCTCAGAATTTCAAATTCTAATGGAATCTAAATTTTCTGGAGCCATAAAAGCTGTGTCAACCTCTAAAACTATTGCCCTGAGACAATCTTTAAACCTTGTACCTTAAAACAAAAGTTGCTTCTGAAAGCTTCTTTAAGCCAAGAAATTGTCTAGCTTAATTAGCAAAGAATGTCTACCTTGAGCCTTGTATTCTTTTAAAGGATAAATCTATATATCATTAAATAATAGATATACTCCACAGCACATAACAACTATATGTATGTGTGTGTGTGTATGTTTGACAGAAGATATGTGTATATCCTGATGTGGTGCTGTAGGATCATCACTGTACTGTAAACCACAAGGTTGGTAGTTCAAACCCACTAGCTACTCCTCAGAATCCCTATGCAGGGTTGCTATGAGTTTGGGTCAACTTGACAACTCTTAACAACTACAACAATTTACCTTTGCTGTAACTATATGCATTAATGTGATAGAGGATATAAGGGCAAAGTTATGAAAATTCCTTAGACATAGCCAAACACCTTGACGGAATGTATTGCTGGGTCTGAGATCTCAGGACCATATTCTTGGACTGCAAACCACAAGGTTAGCAGTTCAAACCCACCAGCTGCTCCTTGGAAGCTCTACATAGGGTCGCTATGAGTTGGAACCAGCTCGACAGCACTTAACAGCAATAACAATAACCAGTCAATTGGTGTAACATCGTCTACAAGACAATATTCTAAATTCTACTGGAGTCTCATGAGCCCATTGGTGGTCATCTAAGGTGCAACTATTGATGTCTCCCTTTCCAGAGTAAAGAAGAGTGATGAAAATCTAAGTCACATAGAGCCAATTAGTCCAATGGACCATGTGAACATCAGTCTCCATGATACTGAACTCTAGAACTAGATGTTCTAAAAGGGATCACATGAGAAGGTCCTGGAAAGAGTAGGAGACAAATGTGGAATAAAACTCAAAATCAGACACAAAAATATCAGTTTTTTTGTGAGATAGAGAATGGCAGGTTCCCTGAGATTATCCCTTTTTGTCATCCTTCAGGTCTGGAACTGAACTCACTCCCATGGTTCAATCTTCAGCCAGATAACAAGGTTTATAGGGAGAACAATAGTGTTAGTGAGGTATACACACACCTTATAATATTCAATCATTTGAGATCAAAGGGGCAGCATTTACTCAAGGATAAGATTCCGAAAGTTTAGGAAAGAAGAAGGAATGGAAACAGGGAGGAAATGGGATACGTGATTATAAATGTAGGAGATTGTATCACTGAGATGGAATAAAATGTGGATGAATTATTGACGATATAGCTGATAATCTGCTCCATAAACCTTCATCCAATGCAGCGTAAAAACAAAACAAAAACCCCCATGAATCCCAATGATTTCATCCACAATTGAAAAACAAGATATATAATCATATGTAATGATAATATATACAATCATATTTTGAAAAAAGAAAACATGAATGAGTATTACATCATTAGCCCCATATTGCTACAATTACTACTATAGAGAAAAACAAATGAAAATGAGAAAATAATTATAATCATTTTCTTTGCTCCCACCACTCCCTCATACATCTTTTTTATGTTACCAATAACTTTCCCATCACCACTGTATTAGGCTGGTTTCTCTAGAAAAGCAAAATTAG